CCACTTCTATCACCTCTTCCAAATTGACTCCTTATGTTTTTTTTTTTTTTTCCTGTTTCTCACTTTAGCATTAAAAAAAAATCTCATCAGTCTATCCTGTAGAATTAAGATTCAAGTTCAAGTTGTCATTACTGACACTTTGAAGGTACTTAAAAATGCACTTGGAGTTTTGAACTTAACTTTGACATTTCCCCCAAGTGCCTCCTCTGAGAAATGCATCATTAGGTGATTTTGTCCTTGTGTAAACATCATTGAGTGTAATTACAGAAACCTGGCTTACATGGGTCAATCACTTGGTGTGACCTCTTGGTACAATCAAGATATAAATTATATGTGAGATGAATGAAGCGGCAACTGTGGGTAACTTGTCGTAGTGTGTTCAGTGCAGTACATGCACACCATACGTTCTAAAACAATCATTAGAGATGGATGTGATGCCACCCATCTGTAATCCTAGCTACTCAGGAGGATAAGGCAGGAGAATAACTAGACACCAGCATGAGCTACTCAGCCAGACCTGTCTCAAAACGAAATTTTAAAGGAAAGCTAGGTGTATAGCTCAGTGGTGGAATGCTTGCCTAGGGGCCTAGGTTCAATGTCAAGTACCTCTTTTTTTTAAGTGATTAATAAGTGTGGGACCAAAAAATGTATGACCTAGTGAGTTTGTCACATGATATCAAGCATTCTGGACTGGACGTTTTTGTTGCATACTTGCATACAACCGTCATGCCGTTGTTTGACATTAGTATCACCACAGACGTGTCTTACGCTTCTGTTATGGCAGTTACTAGGACATAGGTTTTTCCATCTCTGTTATAACTGTGTGTATATGCAATCAGTCTTTGACTAAATCATTGTTATATGGAACATGAAAATAGTCTTCTCCAAAGAAAACACCTTGTTAATAATATTTTACTTTAGAAAAAAGATCTACATACTGAGTTGTTTACCCAAAGCACACCTAAGCATACACACAGCTATGTACACAAACTCCAACTATACATCTGTATGCTCATACGCATAAAATTAACTTATGAATATCTGATTTCCTTACTTATACAAGTACTTACATGGGGATTTTTAAGTTTTTTTCAATAGTTCTATAACATTCATTTGTGAGTATTCAAATTGTTTCATTTTTCTGCTTGGTTTAAAAATAGAAAAAGGGGGCTACAGCAATGGCTTAGCAGTTAAGAGTACTGGCTGCTTCTGCAGAGGACCTGGGTTTGATTACCAGCACCCATATGGCGACTAACAATCATCTATAACTCTATTTCCAGGGAATCAGATACCCTCTTCTGATCTCTGCAGACATTGCATGACATGGGTGCACCTACATACGTGCAGGCAATACACTCATATACATAAAAAAATAAAAATAATAAGTAAAATATAAACAAATAAAAAAGGGAACCACTGATAATCCTTAAGAATTATATAATTTACCTTTTTTGTACTTACATCAGTGACAGAAATTCTAAGAAGAATGCTTTTGGATTGAAGAGTACACATACTGAAAAATTGGAAACTTATAGTCAATGCGTCTCTCAAGATACCAGCACTGATCCAGTTACCCCAGATCGCTCTTTACTGGACTTTCTTCCTTGATGAATATAGTTGTATGTTTCCCTGTATGCACATTGGGTACCTGTCTTTGTGGAATTCATTCTGTTGCCCTTCAGTTTTTCCCAGCTGATTTCTGTACAATCTTGCAATAGCATATAGTCCGGGGCAGGAATAGCAAATAATTGTTTTCAGGTTTGTATGTATGCTTTCATTTCTTTATAATTATTTTTGATACTTGTTATTTAAGCTTGTAGTTATTAATAATTAAATTTAACAGTTTTCCTCATATTTTCCAGATGTTGTATACTAGTAAAATATTTTTGCCCTGTAAGACTAGGAACAAATTATTAACAGTCTTCTAAATGTTTTCATTATCTGGATAATTCATTCTTCCTCACAATCTAAAATATAGGTTAATCTCATGTTTTTCAGTACTTATGATTGCACTCATTACCACACATACTCTCTTAGTTTATATACTCTTCTTAGTACACTTATATTTAATTTTGCTATAGTAACTACATTAACAAAAGCTTTTTGTTGAATTTTTGTAGTTTATTTAAAAAAAAACTTTCAAAATTATCTCCACATTTTTCTAACATTTTGTGATATTGTTTATATAAAAGTATTTAATTGCCGGGCATGGGGGTGCATGCCTTTAATCCCAGCACTCGGGAGGCAGAGGCAGGCAGATCTCTGTGAGTTCGAGGCCAGCCTGGTCTCCATAGTGAATTCAGGACAGCTGGGGGTACAGGGGGACCGGGTCTCAAAAAAACCAAAAAAAAAAAAAAAAAAAAAGTATTTAATTAACTAACCTGGTTTTTTATTTATGAAGATAGGAACCAAATTTAGTCTATTGTCACGAATAATAGTTGTTCTAGTATCTCTTACTGAAATCCATACTTTTTTCTCAGTTTGAAATGCTACATGTGTTTATATATCTTGTTATAAAAGATGTGAACATGTCCAAATTCCTCCAGGGCTTGATGCAGTGCTATTAGCTGTACTCTATACAGCTGTACTCTATACAAATGTTTATTACTTGATGAGTCATTTTTTAAGCAAATTTTGTATAGAAGTGCAAAGTTATATTTTACTTGGTATTATTACTGTTATATGTTCTTCCTTCTCTTATTTTCGACTAATGTCTATGTTCTGTGATGTTTTTTATTGTTCTTGAGACTGAATCTCACAGTTTAGCCTAGGCTGGCCTCAAATTCACTGTCTTCCTGCTTCAGCTTCCTGAGCACTGGGATTAACAGATATGCATCACCATGCATGGCTCATGACCTTTTCTTCTCATGTATGTAAATGTGTCCTTTCAGAAGGTGGAGGCTTGAATTTACTGTCTGTGTGAATCTGTCTTCAGTAGTTAATCTAATTCTTCATGGTTGTTGTCACCACTGAGGTTTATATACTCACCACAGCTATTATAATCTTCAATTTGTCATTCTTTCTTGTGATACACTCTGCTCAATGTTTTTTGTTGCCCTAATAATGATTTAATTCATTTCTCTTTTGTCATTCTATATATTATTTTTATCCTCACCTTATCATGTATGTGTGTGTGTGTGTGTGTGTGTATGTGTCACCACCAGTGTCAAAAATTAATCAGTGTTCATAGTTTTATTTAACTCTCTACCTTCAGCAACCAGAATCACAGGTTGTTCTTTCTGAGACAGGGTCTCCCTGTAGCCACAAATGACAGGGAACTTGCTATGTAGACTAGGCTGACCTCGGTGTCACAGAGATCACCTGTTTCTGCCTCCTGAGTGCTGGGATTCAAGTGTGTGCCACCACATTCAGCCACAGCTTCTTGTTGTTGTTGTTGTTGTTGTTGCTGTTGTTGTTGTTGAAGTCATGTGTGTAGACGTAAGGGGGCAGTGCAATGATTAAGCATGTGCCTGGTCCCAGATTCAATCTTCAGCACCATAATAAAGAAAAATAAATCACGCTTGTTTTCTTTAATATTTTCTTCTTCTTACTTCTTTTAGCTCAGTTGAAATTGCGTGTACTTTAGTTTCACGTGTGACTCTAAAATATAGATTTTTAAATAAGGAATTTAAATGTCATCTCAAGCTTTCTTCTTGGACTCATTTCATCTTGAAGAACATCATTTTTCTAGTTGTTATTTCCCAAGGCATCCCTAGAATTCATGTAAATGCACTCACTGCCAATTGATTAGAGATGGAATTTAGAATAAAATATAAGCATTCTTTTTTCTTAACACCTATTTAATTTCTTATACTTCAGGGATAATAGTCCCCAAAATCTGAAGACCACTTCAAGTTCTTAGGATAAGTCATGGGGCCTTATTCATGTTAAAAACATCCTGTCCTACTGGGCTACATCATCAGCCCAAGAACACATCTGAAAGTATCATCGCCATCTCTATAGCTATCCTTCCATTACCTGTTCTAACTGCATTATACATTGCCTCATTAAGTTTTTCCATATCCCTATAGAAGAAAATTTTATTATCTTATTATGGAGATGACATTCAAGATGGTTGCCTGAATTCATTCATTCCTTCCTTCCTTCCTCCCTCCCTCCCTCTCTTTTCTTTCTTTCTTTCTTTCTTTCCTTCTTTCTTTCCTTCTTTCTTTCAACATTTGTCTCTCTCTGACAGTGGGTTCTTTGCTCTTAAATATGAAAAAAGGTATTGTGAATTTTAGTTTTCTGTTTCTATCTTGATTATACATTGAATAATGTATAATAATGTATAATGTCTGGTTTTCCAGACTCCTGCCTCTCTCTCTCTCTTTGATTAGCATTCTAAAATAATATATCTGAAAGAAGCTTTCATTAGAATTTTTTAGAAGTCTGTTCTTCTCGTGTAGGTGTGAAGTACTCAACAAGTGTTGAACTTGACACTTGCTGGCTCCCAGAGATGCCATATGATGTTTCTGTTGGGGCACAGTCTTTCTTAAAAGTGTCTTGTCTACATATTTCCTTTATGCTTCTGTGTCTCAGGAGATACTACATTCAGAGGTAAAAACAAGGATTAAGAAGAATAAAGAAAGAAGGGCTTACCGATTTCTCAAGATGTGGTAATCACCTGAGACCAAGCTGATAGGAAGAAGTGGTGGAGAGTGGTGGGCAGGCATTCTAAATCACACCTGTCTTAACTTGGAACTTGATGAGCACCAACTAAACACCTATTCATATTTCATGACCAGTACATGCAGCAAAGTATATGTTCAGTGCTTTCTGGTTTCCCCACAGTGTGCAGAGGTTGTAGGTTGAAACAAGAAGGCTTATCTGGTATCAGAGAAGGTTTGGGAGCTGGGTGAGAATATTACACAGAATTCTTCTACCTTCGCCTAGTCAGGCAACCAGGGGAGCTCCAGGGCTTTCCGGAGCCTCTTTTGTCTTACCACCCCACCACGCATAATGGTCCTCTAGCTCAACACCCTGCGTATGATTTCCAACAGTACTCAAAGGTGGAAAGGCATCCTGTGACTGCCCTGGAGAAGATAATGGAGTCAAGTTTCGCTGGTCCCCAGTCATTCCCTGAGGTTCCTTCTCCTGACAGAGGAAGCCAACCTGCCAAACACCACAGGTATGGGTAGCCAGGCACGGTAAGAGTGGGTATGTTCACGTTGTCCATTTGTTTCTCATACATGCCAAGGAATGACACCAGGACCCAGGACTCCACTAGAGGTCATTATTGCCTCTGCTGCTCTGCATCTCCATGGAGGTGATGTTCAGGCAGCCCCCAGGCAGGAAACCAGTCTCCAGCCTCCCTGGCAAGCAGCGCCACACTGCCCTACAAAGCCTGAAGAAACTCTTTACAACTTTCATCTGATTGCAGGCACTGACCAATAAATGAAACAATTGCATGCTGAAAAACTATTTAAAAAAATAGTTTTTTCCTAGTCTGCCTTAACCACTGGCTGCAAAGCTGATGTTTAACTCTCCCCAAGGCAGCTGATGTGACATGCACCAAGTCCTCAACATGGTCCTCACCGAAGAAAACTTTCCAGGGGGAATTCCTGGCCAGTAGTCTCTCTGGGCCTGTGAGATGTTCTGTTATCATTGAAGCAGCATCGGTTTTGCCAGCTGATCCCAGAAATTAGCCCTTTAAGGGAGAAGGCCAGTTATGAAGTTATTTGATAATTTTCTTGGCATTCCGAAGCTGAAAAACGCTCTTCGGAACCTTCTAGCTCACATGTTTTATGCATAATGAATCTTCTATTAAAAAGTCAGTTGTACCTAGTCCAAGCCAAGTGGTGAAATTTGGAACTAATACTACAATAGACATTATGTGTGGATGTATTCAAATTTACACCTTCGATGTAGAAGTTGTCCAAAAACTGAATATGCATTTTCCTAGTGAAAAGTCCAGTCTTTAAAATTTGTTTAATGATATACAATAAATTCACATTTTAAACATGTAGTCATTGTGTCTAGCAAAAGATGATAATTGCTGCTGACATTTTGTTTCCACACATTTCATCAACACCCTGTACACCAGCATGACAGGAAAACCCATAGTAAGGAGACCATCTCCTCCTCCTCTCAATGAGCCTTATGAAAAAAATTTTACTTCCCTAGCTGCATTTACTTTGAGATTTTTAGTCCCTTCAACTGTGAGCACATTGATGCTCAGTATGGTGATTTTTACTCCAATTCCACATTAGTAGAGACTGGGATACAAGGGTTTAAGTATTTTCAATTTAGGATTGAAATAGTTTGGGCTTCAGATAATCATATTAGCTATTATGGGCCAGTTGTTCACTACATTTCCATAATGCCTTCTTTTTAAACCAGCATTTCAGTTCACTAGACCTAATGGAAGTTAACTAAATTGGGGAAATATGTCCAAAATTACTAGTCTTTTAGATAGCAGATAATTTTCTAAAGCAGTATTCTCCCCTGTTGATTCTAATGTGTTATAATAGTAACCTACTCTGTCAGGTGCAGGCGTGATATTGCTGTGCACCATATTATGACATAAACATTTTTAAAGTTTGATTTTAAATTGAGATTTTTTTAATGACGGCTTCTTCTGTGTTGGCGTCCAGCATCCCTGTGCCTGGTTCAGTTCTTTTTTTATCTTGGTTTCTAGGATTCCAAGATTAAATGAAGATGCCCTTAAAGGCCTTAGATTTTTGTATGCCTCAGTGACATTACAGTATCTGTTGGCAGAGCTCATATGCTGAAATATGGGGAAGGATTGAGTATGTTAGAACTTTGTACATTATAGCTGAATATATCATAGCTTTTGTTTTGTTAAACAAGCAGTGAACATGAACATTTTCATGATTGATAACCCTGTCAATGATTTATATATCCTTCCAGCTCCTCCTTAGCTTCCTGAATGTCCCTGGGTTAGAAAGCCTGAATCATTGGTTAATCAATAGGTCTACAACTGCTTTTTAAGATGGGTCACTACTTTATACATACAAACCTTGTTGTGACAGTTGAGTATTCTATGAATAATTTATTTCTTTTTGTGCACTGGATATATGGCTCATTTGGATAACTTATTTCTGAAACCAACCTATTAACTCAAAACTCTCATTTTTAATGTTTAGGAGAATCCCCACCTGTTTAAAAAGTTTATTAAAGCCATGTCATCTTTATTGCACTGTATTTTTTCCTACAGTGACAAGACCACAGGGTTTTCAGGAATTCAGATAAGCCTCTGAGTTGCCACTTAGGGCTCAGGAATGAGAACTTGCAGGATTGTCCGCCCTCATGTGCAGCAGGCACTGCACCTGACACATTGTGCACATTACCATTTTAACCTCCAGAGTACTCCCATGAGCATGATGCTGGCATCTTCCTTCAGCACTCCCCTCATCCCATACTCATCCAAGCCATTGCTAATTTTCTCTGAGTAGACTTGTGCAACAGGAGAGCTTCAGGCTTCCCTGTCCTCTGGCTGCTGTTGGCCCAGTGTGAGGCACTTGTGAGAGATGGAAAAGTGCTGGGGAAGGTGAGGTCAAGGTCCTTCCATTTCCTCTTGCTGTGCTTGGGTGCCTTAGCCATGTCACACTTTGGTCTTACGGGGCCACGGAGCCTGCCACCTGACTTTGTCCTTCCAACACTGCTTCATTTCTGATAACTGTTCCATCTCTGTGTGTCTTCAAAGGACAGTAATAACTTCCTATTGCTAGTAGCCCCAAGGTACAGCAGTATCTTTTATAGCTTTTTTTCCCTCTTACATAATTACTATGCCTGTGTAAAACATATGGCAATAACTACGCAAAAACATTTCTTCAAATAATCCAAGTTAAATGGCGTTCACTTCCCTCCGGATCTCTGACATAAGTACCTGCATCACACTTTCAATACCACAGATTTGAGATTTGCACTCTGATGCAGCCAAATCTAGCACCTGAGCTCCCATACCCTAGATTCTGTAATTGCTATGGAATGGTACACAGAGGTAGGAGAGAGAAAGAAATTCACTGTTAGATGAAGATGTTTGCTTTGTGACTAACTAGATGACCAGGTTCTTGAGAATTTGGGGAACTCAACCCACAAGAATTGATGTGATAAACAGCTAAGATGTAATGAGACTGTTGAATCTGATTTGGTGTCTTCAGAAATTCAAGGTTAGTGTTTGCTGGAGGAAATCAGAGTTCGATATGCTACCTTGCCAAAATCAAGAATATTGGTATTCAAATACCAGTTCCTCAAACATTTTTTGTAACATTTATGTTTATGAAGTAGGAATAATAGTAATATTGAAAGAAAGTGGGACAGAAACCAAATAATAAAGTGACGGGGTGAAATTGATTTGGAGGTTGTCCCCTTTAGAACTTGGTGGATTTGTTGAGTTTTTTATGTTTTTGCATTTTTGCCTATGTAGTTGTATTGATAGAGTCAGACAATGTGGATACAGCACAGGGGTTTTATCTACTTTTGTGACCATGGGAGAACTATTTGGAACCCATGAACTGACATCTCATGGCATACTTATACAAGAACAAAGATAACTCAGCAGGGTGGGAATTGATAAGGAGTCAATAATGAATCAACTTAGAGATATACCTTCATAAACTCTAGCACTTTTTAAATATTCTACATATGTGTTCTCACTTTTAAGGCCTGAGATATATGTCACTTATGCCTTTTGCCATGATGGCATTGACAAATGTATAGTTGTTTGGGAAGTTTGAATCTGTATACCAAATGAAATATCTAAACAGGTGCTTGTTAAAAACAAACTCAAAAGCAAAAATAGTTTCTTAAGATTGATGAAAATCTGGGACAGTGCACTGAGAATTTAACACATACATGGAGGAAAGAATGCTAATTAAAGTAAGATCTGTTTATCCTATCACTCAGAAATGAAAATTTCCCCATAAATCCTCTCTGGGCTTCCTATATTCAATACTTTTCACCATCTAATGAGAATATTCTTATTTTAATTAGAAAAATAGCTACTGTAACTTGGGAAACCTGGATCTTGAGCCTTCCTTAGACCTAGCTCTTACTTCTTAGCTAGAAAACTTCAATTATTTTATTACTAGTGCTCTAAAGTGGAAAGTCAGGAACTTCTCTTTGTCTTGCACCGCCAACAGTGAATGAATGAGCAACTTCTGAGTTCAGCCAAGTGCAGGTTGGACATTCATGGGTGGCCTGTACCCTAGAACTTTGAGGATGTGGGGTACGAATTCAATGTCTCAGAAGTCTGAGTCACCTCTTGGAGGCTAAGGGCATGCTTTCTTTGGTTTGTTGGTTTGATTTGGTTTCTCCCACCCAGCAGGAGTCTCTCTTCTTGCTGCAGCCCAGGGCAAAGGAATGGGATGCTGCACAGGAACACCTTCAGAAGGACCCCCCCCTCACCCCGGAGTCGGCTGGGTGGAATTGTGGGACCAGCATATCAGCAACTTGAAGAGTCAAGGATCCCAGACCAGGATTTGATACCTTGTCAAGGGTATGTCTTAAAAAGCAGTGGAATTTAGGGAGGCTGTCAGAAATGTGATTGGTTTAAATTGCGTTCTGTGTTTCTTGGGGTTTTATTCTCTGACTTCTTCATTAATTGGTTCTTTATGCTTATTCTCACCTTTGACCCTCAAGGGCAAATGAACTTAAAATGATAAGTGTGATAGAAAGGGTTACAAAGGAAACTAGATTGAAAAGAAACTGTAAGAATGAAAAGATATCTGTCCCCAGGTTAGTGCATACTTAATTTAAAAAATGGAATTTTCTTAGGTATAAAGCATACCATTATCAGTAATTAAAAAATATATATTCAACTCTCTGATTAGTAATAAGGACAAGACCCTAAAAAAATAACCTATAGAACGTATATTGTATTTACTTCCACCCGGTCTTCTTGAATGAAGGGTTTAGGCCAGTTTTAGAAACATAAAACGAGAATGGAAATTTCAGAACTCATATATCTTTTCTTGGTATGGGGTAGAAGAAGCTTTGGACATCATGGCTACTGCCTATAGTACAAAGGTGCCTTTTCCTCTAGTAAACATCAACCCTTATGGGGCTCAAGGCATAGTAAGTGGAGTGTAAGACAGATTCTAGGCATCCCTATCTGCTTGCTGTAAACCATTCTCCCATACAAGGAATACCTTACCTTGACTGAATCTCAAGTTATATAACCATCCTTTACTGCTTGCATGAATTTCAGAAAAAGAGTTGTAATCTGAGCCTGAGCTTAAACCTCCTGAATTTAAACCTCCTGAACATTGGTCAGATTAAAAAGGAAATATAAACAGCGTGTGCCAGAAACTCGGTAATCAGAGGCTGTTTATGTTGGGGTGATTCTCATTAATTTCAAGAACATTGGAATCTAGATTTATTCTGAAATTTTCCAAAGTTGGATTATTATATCTAGTATTTGTCCTTTTAAATGACCCATGGTAGGTTTCCATGTAGTTTTTCCCTGGGTGGTTATTCCAGATAATCTATATCAAGCTGGGGACCAAACAGGTGGAAGACTTTGTTTCTCTTTTTTCTATATATGGGATAGATGGACTGGTGGCCCATATCATTAAGTTTCTTTAAGAAGAATGGGAGATAGGACACAAATAACCTGTGACCAGGTACTATAATTCTGAAACAATTGAACGTGGACTATAAAATGCATTCCTATGAATTTAGGATGGCAACTGCAAATTCAACATAAAAGCTAAGACATCACAAATATATCATGCAAGTGTAGAAGCAGTTGACATTTTGCATGGCCTCATCTTTGAAGGGGGCCTTGCATTTAGCCTGTAATTATAATGATCAAATGATCATCTTTTTTTCTTTCTTTCTTTCCTTTCTTTCTTTCTTTCTTTCTTTTTTTTTCTTTTTTGATGAGAGGTGATTTTATTGTACTGATAATCTGTAATATCAATTTCTAATTTTTTAAATAATTTATTGAGAATTTCATATATTCATATAAGGTGTTTTGATCAAATCCATGCCCACTCCCTCCCCTGCAACTCCTCCCATAGCTCCCCATCATTTTTTTTTTCTGATAACTTCATGTACTCTTTCTTCTTCTTTTATTTTTTTTTAATGGGGCTTTTGGCTACTCTAACGTTCCCCTCTCTGAAGAGGTAACCCTAAAATCTTTTAAGGAATAGATTAAAGCTCCTAAATATTTTCAACATTTTTTGGCCGTTAGAATGGAGTATGTTGCTAAGAGGCCCAAAGACATTGTGAGTTTTAGCCGAGAAATTGGCTGCTTTTCTTTGGGGTCTTTTTACCCTAACTGCCTAGCCAATTCCTACCTCCTATTCTTATCACATCATCCTCTGAAGAGGTTACCCAACTTGCCAATAGGGAATCAGGACGCAGATCGCTCTGGCTTCCATGCTGAAGAGGGACGTGGGGTGAGGCAATTGGAGTACCCCTTCAGTGGGTCTACAAAGCACCATCTTTCATAACTACTTTATCAGTCACTAGACATATATCACAGGAATACACACACACACACACACACACACACACACACACACACACACTTTCTCTCCTTGGGGTGAATATCAGAATGAGTATAAGCGAGACCAAATCAATTACAGAAGATTTTTGATAGATTCAGTATCCCTCCTGTTCCTGTGTCATTCTTCCTCTCGGCCACTACGTGGGCTCTCACTTCTTATGTTCCAGGTGTGAGGTTGCTCTGAGCCTGTGGTAGGCTCAGGCTGGACTTACACATTCACAGACAGACGTTTTAGGGCCCAGAGGTTCCCAACGCCTGCTTTGTCTTTTCCCTCCTGGGTCTGCATGTTGGTAATTTTGTGTTGGCTCAGTCACCATCGGGCTGAGAATATTCTCTCCAGCTGGCTGGCCACACATATTTTCCTATGTGTGAGCTGTACCCAATGTTGATAAATAGTGACTCTATATATAAGTCACTGTGGGCTCAGCACAATGAATCTCAGAGAGCAATCTCATTCTCAGTTCTTAAAAACAGCTATTTTCCACTCCTGGGGGACTGACTGTCTCACAGGACTGAAAATGGAATTGGTAATAGAATTTCACAGCTAAACACTCTTCAAATCTGCCCTTGGCCTTGAAGGAGAGTGAATGAATTTGCAAGAACCATCAGCCATCTGCTTCTGTTTACCAAGCATGTGGTTGCCGTCCTCTAAATAGTTCCCCATGTATGTGGTTTCTCTCCTGAGCAGGAACTTCTGCCCAACTTGAACCCATTTTCCATCTTAGTATACAGCCTGTGGTTAGAATGTGGTAGTGACTGAATTAAGGAGACTCTTCCCTGATTGGAGTCCTGGTCAGTGCCAACCATAGTAATGGCTTGCATGTCTTTATACCGGTGTATGTCAGGCAACTAAAACTGATACAGATAATATGTTTATAGGCTAATAAAAAGAAATATATTCAGAAAAGTCAGCTTAATCCCCAAAAGTCAGCATGTTCAGTATACTGAGTTCCTACCTCACCTTGCTAGCTACCTGATACAACCTTACTTTGATATTCTTTCGAAATTTTATTGAGGAATCCGGTGAAGATAGAAACATTCAAATGACTAGCCCCAGGTAGTCATTTTCTTGAGAAAAAGCTGAGATTCTGTAGTGGATTTTTGACTAAAATCATCCACAAAACCAGGAAAGGGGAGTGAGGAGAACACACTGATGGTGATGTGTAAATGAAATAGTTAATTGTATGGTGTAAAGGTGGTCATTTCATTCCACTATGTACCTCTGGAACTGGGTCTTAGAGTCTCCAAGGGAAACAAATTCCTTGGCCTGACCTGGCTTATTGTAAAACAAACCAAGTCATTAATTATTTCAATCATTCTTGATTCATATATTCATAGAGAAGGCACATCTGTGATTTCTTGAAGGGATGAGAAAGAGGGCAGTCCAAGCCAACAAAATAGTGAATGAATGAGAAATTTAATCATCATACTGTTGTTGACATTCAAGGAATATAGAACTTTGAGGATCTTCTAAGTCAGAATCCCTCTAGAAATTTAGCTTCTACTTAAACTTCATTGACATATCACAGCTAGGATCTCTAGAGAGGAAATATGGATTACACCGTGCTTTTGCTGAAAGGAAAGAAGAGTTTTCAGTTAGCACTGCCAACCCCCAAGTAATCGACTGGTATGACTGATTAGTGTTTCGTCTTGGTGCTGGTAAAGAAACCCCGGGCTGTATTATGCTGAGCAAACACTTTCCACTGAGATATACAACCAGCCTTATATGTTTTAAGCATTGGAAAAATGCAAATGACGTTGCCATTTGTCTCAGAGTCGAAAGTATGTAATGATATTGGGGCTTGTAGGCATGCGTGATTCTAAATTAAATTGCATATTGGAAAACTGTCATTATTCAAAGCCCATCTACATGTAGAAAGACATGAAATTTCAGTGACTGGGAGCCATGTGTCCTAGAGCTGGCTTGGGAAATGGCACACAGAAGCCAACTGCAATTCCTCTTTGTCATCTAAGTTCTTAATTCAGCTCTTGGGTACAGTAGGAAGACACTTCAAATTTGTCTTTAATCACCTTTGTGCTTAGCCATGCCATGTTGGTGAGTCATTGCAGTTAGAGTTTAAAAACATCCTCTAAAATATTTATGCAACATTTTTACAAAAAGGGCTAATATCTTTCTGCAAGAATCTGCCAATATCACCATCATTTAAGCTTCTTAGATTCTACTTCCAACCCGGCCTGACAGCACTTTTTCAGATCCAGAAGTAACCCTGCTACATTTCTTGACTCAGGTCCATGGGTAAACCTGGTAGGCTCATTTTAAATATATTCATATATGCTCAAGGGATAGGGCCATGGACAAAACACATGAGTCTGAAGTGTGCTGCTTTCTTCTTGTTGAAATTGATTTAGGGATCAGAACCGTTAGAGTCAGACTTTCAGTCATATAAGAGATAAGAGTTAAGGGTCCCCAAGGAATTTCCTCATGAGCAGCTGTATAAAAATATGCACCCCCAAAGAGGTGTTCTAGTTAAGTTCACATTAGGATGTCCCTTCTCTAGCCAGGTCTGACTTTCACATAAACAATTAGACACTTGAGTTAGAATCCTTGTGTCACTTAGCAGAGCATTTCAATGCGCCAGAATTCTTTATTCATATATCACAAAAGAATAATAAATTAAAAGTATTCTCGTGGGGTAATTAGAGGTGACTATGCTTTTTCAAATCAGCGGATAAATGTTAGGACTTACATCTGAAACTGGGTATTGAGATGTAAATGACCATGATTTTGAAGATATGTTCATGTGTTAACATGTTTTTTAGCACAAGGTTTATTAATGATGAACTCTATTCTAGATATTGTAAGAAAAATTGGGACTACTAACAACTAAATCTATTCCTTCTCTCTACTCAAAGTCTGGTGAAATTGTTCCCATTGTGGCCTCACAGTTAAGACTTCTATTTAATATGCAATGTAGTGCCGTACAACTATTCTTTACATGGATAAACAAGATTTTTATTTATATTACAGCATAAACAAAGAATATTGACTTTATGGAAATAGATATGCTTAAGTTAAACTTACATATTTATGTTTGGTATTTAATGTTAAATCACTAAGATATAGAAGAAAATTTGCTGTGAGTTCCCCTCATGACCCCTTCGATAAATCTGATATACCTGTCCTATTTCTGCCACTGAGAAGTTCAAAGCAGGAAAAATCAACCATCCCTGAACAGTTCAGGAAGACCCAAGCCACCTCCTGGCATATTCAAATTAGGTAGAATGGCACGCTTGTATTCTTGACAAGCTACTGCTACACACCAGTGACCTCCCTCACTGGGCTTCTGAAATTATGTGAAGAAAGCTCCTAGATTGGTGTGACCCCATGGAATGGACTTCCTATTCCTGCTGAGCAGACAAAGGAATCATGTGCCTCCCACTCCTGTTTTCTGGCTCAGCAAGCAGCTAACAGGGCAGTTCGTACAGTGCAAAGTGCCGACAGCAGTCAGATTCATGTTCCCCCAAATCAGTGGAAAGTGGAACCTCTTAGGACTGCTATACCTTGAGGCTCAATAGTGGGTTTCCTGATTGCCTCCAGTTAGGCTCAAATCTACTGGACTGACCAAGGGCTGAGGGTGACTGATTGGTGAGTGCAGTAATGCCATGATGGTGTCCTGTTTGTCATGGTGAAAAGGCCACATTACCTTCTCAATCCCCATTTACTTTGTATTCTAGGATAGAGGTCAGGAAGACTATATCCCACCTGCCTCTACAGCTGTGGTGTGTTGAAAGACCCCTGGACTTAAAGTAAGAAGATCTGGGTTTGAGTCTCAGTCTGTCACTTATTTTTCTGTGTGACCTTGGGCAAGTCACTTCACTGATCTGAGCTTCAGTTTACTTCTTTGTGTAACTGGGAGCATAGTATCCGTCTCATGGGGTTGCTGTGAGAAGTCGGTGAGATGGTGCATGTGCAACGTGCTTTTTGGATGGATTAGTACTCGTTATAAACACAGCAGGAGCCAGAATGTGATGCTGTTTATCTTTTTCAGGTGTCCATCCAATGGCTTAAGAACTCAACAAAATGCATCAATAAATATGCAACTGCCTTCAAGAGAAACAAACCCCTATTTTAGTAGCTTGGATCAAAAAGACCTAGCGGACTATTCATCCCCAAGGGCCAGTTCTGTGCCCATCATCCCTTCAGTGGGTCTAGAAGAAACCTGCATGCAAATGCCAGGGATTTCTGAAGTCAAAAGCATCAAATGGTGCAAAAACTCCTACTCTGCTGACATTGTCAACGTGAGTGTTCCAGTCAGCGATTGTCTTTTAGCAGAACAACAAGAAGTGAAAATATTACTAGAGACTGTTCAGGAGCAGATCCGAATTCTGACTGATGCCAGAAGGTCTGAAGACTATGAACTGGCCAGCGTGGAAACCGAGGACAGTGCGAGTGAAAACACAGCCTTTCTCCCCCTGAGTCCCACGGCCAAATCAGAACGAGAGGCACAATTTGTCTTAAGAAATGAAATACAAAGAGACTCTGTGTTGACCAAGTGACTTGAGATGTAGGAATCCGTGCATTCTATGCTTTGCTCAACAGGAAAGAGAGGAAATTAAATACAAATTATTTATATGCATTAATTTAAGAGCATCTACTTAGAAGAAACCAAATAGTCTATCGCCCTCATATCATAGTGTTTTTTAACAAAATATTTTTTTAAAGGGAAAGAAATGTTTCAGGAGGGATAAAGCTTACCACTTAAGCTTTTGGGGAGAATTCTGAATCCAATTCCAGTTAGTCCTAACACTGTCCTCTTTGGCTGTTGGAAGATTTGGGCAATTCAGACCTTTGGTCCCTCATGACAGTGTCTGCATAGAAAAGCACTGGAGGTCACCTGGCTTCAAGGAGACAAACTGTATCCTGAGGGTGGATACAGGTGAGCAGGTGGCCCTGGTCATTTTGCTCTCAAGTTATAACCCCTAAATTTCTACTCATCAACACTCTCATCACAGGATATGTCATGTCAAGGAATGTAGTGTTTTGTATCTGATTTTTGAAGACTGGCACAAAGATGGGAACTGGAAGGAAGACAGGCAGTGGAGTGTAGAGAGAATAAGTGGGTGGGGCAATCTTAGCACTCTCGTGTGCCATCTTTCTCTGAAATTCGAAAGTACAGAAATTCAGAGGGAGGTATGAAATTATTACAGGAAAGACAAAGAAAAAATCACAATGTCCTGTCACTAAAATAACACTAAAAGAAGTGTTTATCTTGGAGGTTGTTTAGAAGCTCTGAAGGAGCCTCTCCTAATGTGCGTGTGTGCCTGGGTGCACAGGTGTGAGTGTGCGTAAGGGTGTGTGGGCTTGCTCAGCTGAGCACATATGCTGTTTACACGTGTGCTCCTTTGTGTGTATGTGTGTGCGCGTGTGTGCGTGTGTGTGTGTGTGCGTGCGTGCGTGTGTGTGTGTGTGTGTGTGTGTGTGTGTGTACCAAGCTTGCTAAAATTTGTTCTGAAACATCAGGGAATCTAATATTCAGAAAAAAATTTCCCTCTTAGATCTTTTCACTTTAAATTTTTCCATTAATATAAAATTTGGTTAGTGAGTTCTTAAATCAAGGTAACTTGCATGGTGGGGTCCTATAGAACTTTGACTATGTCTAGATGATTTTCTGATGTGAATATTGAAAGGATCAACCTGTGGCTTATTGATAACAGTATCACCAATTGAATTAATGGAGGATGTGTTTATTCTGAGTCATCTACCTACTTAAATCATTTACACAAGCCAGTTATCTAGTTGACAGTCAACCATTTTATTCATCATCAACCTCATTGCTCTTTTCTAATAAGTCTACTAAGTGTGGACAAAGGCATTGGCTTCTGTGGTTAATAGAGAAGAAATACATTGTTAAAAATCAGAAAGCCCAAACTATTCAGTTCACAAGAAGTGCCCCCCAAATAGTAAATTGTGTTGTATGTTCATTTGGAATAAAGCAATATTTTTACCACTGCTAAGGTGAACTGAGAACTTCTCCTGAAGACATGTCTGTTTTATTTCCCTTACTTTCACGGGGCATTCAAGGAAACTAGTGTTCACTTACCTAGTCTTTTTCCAATTATTGGTGGTGTTGTTATGTTTACACTGTTTTAAATAAAAAGGCACAGTATTTGAAAGTATGTAAAAGATTGCTTTCAGTGTAGTTTGGAAAAGCCTAATTAAGATATCTTTGTGGAAGACTCACAGTCCATGGAGAGAATCTGTGATTGTTTCTGGCTCTAGAAGATATAATGTACAACTCTTCATTCAGGTTAAGTTGTTTCTGTTGAAAATACATTGAAAATTGTTCTTTGTGAACATTCATTAATAATAATGCCATTCAGGGAAAAGAAAGAGCATTAAAATATAATCAAAACTGCTTAATAGGAAGTCAAGGTCTCAAATATTGAGAACACATTGATGGGAATGTATTTTATATTTAGCAAAAGTGTATGCAGTATTTATCAGTTGCCCTGTTACAGCATCATTGTACATATTAACACTGCTAAAGATTTAAAAACACACAGCTTTTTAATATCTCCTAGGTCATCATAGTTCCCATCAGAAAATACTTCATCATTTGGAAAATTCAGAGTTTAGTTAAGTCTATAAAAACTCCATAAACTGAGCATTCAATATAGCATTGTGTTCAATTTTACCAGAAGTACCAAACAACTGCAAAGCCACAGAAGTTTGTTGAAGTAAACTTATGTTTTTTGCCCTTAAAATGTTACTTGTTGTTTTTCTAAAAGGTCCATTCATCCAAGGAGGATGGCATGTTCTCTGACTCACTAACATTATTTTAATGTAACATTTACACCAAAGTAAGGTCAGCCAAAGCTGTCTCAATGTAACGCTTTATTTAAAGGAATTAAGGCTATATCTGGTGATTTCGCTGCAAATTCCTTCCCTATACATTCTGCAGATTATGAATATCAAACACATCCAGGCAGTGTTATGGAAAGTTTACAGTTATTGATACTTCCTTGAACACTCAAGACAAAGATCCTCCACAGAAGTAATTATTGCTGGCACTCAATGGTTCTTGTCTCCTTCTGGAACAGGAAGCTCTTCTGCAAAATGTCTATGTTCAAAGGACACACATGGTAGGGCATCAGCTGCCATGTGCCAGGTGCTGACGCATTGAGACTTTCAAAGGTAACCTGACATGGTGAACATCTGGAGCCATCATCACTTTGTCCTTCAAGTTCATGTGCTTTCATGGACATGCTGATTTTTGCATGATACCTTTGAATTTGCTTCATTTTCCTTGTCTTTATGATGTGAATAGAAATTTGGAAATTTGTAATTACATAGGCTACATATTTGTTATTGACAGGAGACTGATTGTCACCCATTGTTTTTTGCTTTGAATCATTTTCTAGTATGTCTCTTTTTTATGAAACATTTTTTATTCTAAATTACTGGTAGCTATTGTGGAATGCTGTTGTTCAGAATATGACCAATCTTATGTTACTAAGATAGAATAGAAATGATGTTAGAGAATTAGCATCCAATTTTTCTTCTTAATGTATATTAAATACTCTGTTTCAAATTCTGGCCCGATATCTACCTTGCTGCGGGTTCAGGTCAATTTACCACATCTCTAATGATTTACATAATTTTTTAAGTAAGAAGAACAAGAATTACTGGAAATTAATCTAGCTTAGGTCATTTTATCAGACACCAAAAACAACAGAAGGGCCAAAAATATTCAAAATGTCCATTCATTTCTGCAGTGAATAACAGCTACAATTTTAGAAGGGCCCTCCCTGCTGCCCAAGGCTGAGGCTACCAGTAACCAGGTCTCCACCAGAACACATTCAACATTCGCAGCCATCACCCAAAACCTATCCTGCTATATGGTGCTACAGGAAACCACAAGTCCCTAATGTGTGTGTGGGAGGTGGTGATCTCTGATTTGAGCCCTGTAAACCTGAGATAAGTGCTAAGAAACATTTCTCCAATGAGTACATCATATACCTAGGAACCAAGCAGGCGGGCGGGGTTTTTATTTGATTTTTGGTACCTGGGAAACATTTTCTATATAAAGAATACTTTTTATTATTCAATTGTATAGCTTCAGTACAGTGTTCTCAATGGATAGCATGTGTACACTGTGTTTGTATCTTGTCTTCAGAAACTCAGTCCTCATCCAGGCAAGACCAGCACAAGGTTTCTGGGCTGTTCTCAATTTTAAACATCCCAATATGCTGTGGTTGAGATGAAGCCTTTGAAAAAGCTTTTCTTTCTTCATCCTTTCTTTCCCTTTTAAAGAAACACTGAGGGAAAAGGAAGAAATTCATTCTCTAAGATCTGCATCACTCTCTTTGAATAGTGTGTTTCCTACTGTGACTACACCAACAATATAAATATACGTGTATATTAAATTGAAGTGATTATTTTGGTAACTTTATTTTTGTTTCATTTGACAAATATCAAGTGATTACCTCATGGAATGTCAATTGAATAAAAGCATTTAGTGGTCAGCCAACTTGACAACATCTTGATCATAAAGAGCGTTTCAGTTCCTTCTCTTTCTTAGTCAAGCTGAAATATCCTTGGGTTAAAAATTCAGAAAATCCTACACAAAAAATCTGGTTGATTCTCTCCTCGAAATGAAAATTAAATGATGGGTGTAAATGACTGCTGTCTCTAGAGTGTATAATTGTCTCAAATGTATTTTTTATTTTACGAATTTAAGTATACTTCTAATGGATGACTTTGACTTCCAGTGTCCACTGAACTCTAGTAAGGGCACTGTGTGTGGAGATGGGAAGGGGTATTTTGCATTAATGTCACACACCCCAGTGAAATCAGTAACACAGTGACCAGATTCAATCTTGGTAAAATACCAGCAGGTTTCTAAATCTTTGGTAATTGTTTGACATGAACACTTGTATTGATTGCTCATGGATTGTTGCTGTTGAAAAAGCTGTGTGAAAAGAAACAATGTGTTATTGTTGAAAACGATTTACAAAATCTTTATATTGAAAGTCAACTTCGTGAAGATTTCTAACGAACTTATCCACAAGAGCAGTTAAGTGACCTCATCTCTCAAACACAGGGAATGGTCTACTTCATCTTTGATTTTTTTTTTTTTTCTTCCCAGTCAAAACCTTGTTACCCAGCTATTCGAATCCAAACTTTAGCTGGTCAACTCTGGACTCATTTCAACACTGCTCTTTAAAAAAAAAAAAAAGTTCTTGCCTGTAATATCTATCACACTGAATCTTACAAACATTTGGAACCTAGATACCAATTTATGAATAAGATTGGCATTTGTAATAATACACACAAAGGAGAAATGGTATTCTTACTGTAGCTATTTTTAAGATAAATTTACCAAGGTGGGTAATGAAGAAGGGACAGTCAAGAAATAGTTCCAAAGCTTGAGAATCAAAGACCAAATTTTGCTTCAGATTTGTTTTTAAGGAAATCTGAGAGCTTATCAAACAGCCTTCTCCACTACAAGCATAAGACTTTGACAATGTCCTCAGCCACAGAAGCAGCAGATAGACTCTCAGAGGGCGCAAAACTAAAAGACCTGTATTGCTCTCTGAATTATTTGCATCTCAGTTTGAGAAAGAGTCTGGCCATGAGGTTCAGGCTGGGCTTGAACACATAATCTCCTCGCTCGACTTACTGAGTATAACTACAAGTGTGCTCTACCATGCCTGGCCTGGTACAACTCACACTTTTTAACATAAACCCTCTAGGTGAATAAATTCTCAGTAGACATTTCCACATTATGGTTAAAAATAATCCTAACTTTGGGGATACCTAAAAGCAGTGTTTACTTATTGGCTTTTCATTGTAATGACTGTTTTGACAAATGAATATCAATATACTTTTTCACTATCATCCTGACAAGCACTGATTCTTCTACATATAATTTGCCTTGGACAAGATCCCCAAAAGTCTAAGTCATCAGTCTTATATAAAACAATGTGAAATGTAAAAAGAACAAAAAAATCCTTGAATCAAAGACTATAAATTCAGTTGTGTTGTGATTTCAAAGTTATAAGAATTCTATTTAGTATTTTACAGTATCAAATTAGAGGTGAACTCCACATTTTTGTCCTTGTTTATGAACTATTTTGAGGTCTGATGAACCACTAAGACAACTGTGATATACCCTATCTGTATTTATAGTATCCTTTTTGCAGTGAAAATTTTAAGGGCTTAAAAACCTACACACACGGAGCACTCATGGTGTATTAAGTGACAACCACATGGAAGACCTTGGGTTCATAAGAAATGCATGCAGCAAAAACGTATAATGGTTATTCTTCAAAGTTTACTCTTCACAGCCTGTTTGTGAGTGCCATCCTCATCAACAAAAATATGGAGAACAGAAATATTTGTTCAGATGGAAACCAATACAAGAACGTGAGAGCGCTCCTTAAAAACTGCTGCATCATCACAAATGGCAGTTGTGTATATACCAAGATAATGAAAAGGAAATACCTTGGCTTTCATTTTTCACAAATAGTCAGTGGTGCATATTAAGTCCAAAGTACTTATTGACTAAGACATTTTTGTTGAATTTTTGTGAACTTCTTTTTCAAAACATTTTAACTGAATTTTTGTGTATTTCATATAGAACATCTCAATCAATCTTAATTATCTTTATACCTCCATCCCTACTGGCAGACCTCCTGTAGCTGTCCCCCACTGGAATTCATACATTCCGTCATTTGTGTTAAGGCCTGTTGTGTCAAGTTAGTGTCCTCAGTGCAAGTTCATCTACCGAGGTCTAGTTAGCCTATCTAGAGTATCCCACTTTAGGGAGATCAGCTTTTCCTCAAGCAGAAGTAATCAGTTACCAATATTTCTTCAGCTAAGATTGGGGTCAGCTATCCATTTCCCCAGTTCTATGTGGGGTTTTTGTCGAGTTTGCATGAGCTCTGTGCATGCTGACACCATTGCTGTAGGTTCATATAAGCCAGGTCCCAGGACCTTGTAGGACTCTTGTTTCCATGTAGTCATGCACCTCCTCCCTGGCACTTACAGTCTTTCTGCCCCCTCTTCTGCAGAGGTCACTTCAGCCTGGGTGGGTGAAGCTTAATACAGTTATCCTTTCCAAAGACCCACACTCTGTAGACTCTCAGTTGCTATACTTTGGCCATTTGTGGTGTTTCTTGTTCCTGGCCCTCTGTTGCATGAGGGAGTTTCATTAATGAGAATTCAGAGATTCATTAGTGTCCTCTTGACCCCTGTTCTAGGTTCTGTGAGTCTTAGTTGTAGAGGTTGCATTGTACACGTGTCACTTAAGCCTATGCAATTCATAGACAACATCTGTAATAGTCTTCAGCTGGTGCAAAATGAGCTTCTTTGATGAGTGGTGGCTGGGATATTTGTCTGTAAATATAAGGATGCATTTTTTTAAACAATATACTGTTACTGTATTTAGACCTCCTACCTTATTTGCACCCTCCCTACTACTCCCAATCCAATTACATGTACTGGGTCCATCCACTGGAACCTGCTTAACCTACCAAGAGTCTCACCTTTAAACAAGACTGACTCTCCCCCTCCCAGCATCAATGTGCAGAGAATAAGGTGGTGCAGAGTGCTTATCCCTAAATAGAGCACCTATATCAAACTTTAGCTTCCTAAGGCTTAAAGATCACTGCAGGTAACAGACTTTTCCAGGCAGCTACGCAATGTCCCATATGAACTCGCAGCAGTACTGACAGCATGTAGAAGTCCCACGTAAGTTCAAATCTGACAAAATCCCAGCATAGACACAGAGAAGTGGGTAAGAAACCCAAATCTACCTGAGGAGCTATTGACTAATGCAATCTTTAAAGCATGGTCAAAAGAGTAAGTCACAGGGTTGGAGAGATGGCTCAGCAGTTAAGAGCACTGACTGCTCTTGCAGAGGACCCGGGTTCTATTCCCAGAACCAACATGGCGGCTATGAACTGTCCTTAACTTCAGTTCTAGGGAAATCCTAAGCCCTCTTCTGACTGCCACAGCATTGCACAAGGGTGCACTCACATACATGCAGGCAATACACTCATACATAAAATTTTTTTTAAAAAAGTAAGTCACACAGAAATATACAGAATGTATGGAGAGCAAAAAGAATGCTTAGTCATTTTTAAAATTTACTATAAAAGTATATCTTGTGCTAGTGAATTTTTTTTCCATAGAGTATACATGCATCGCCTTTATCTTACTAAAAAAAAAAAAAATTAAAACAACATTTTAAAATGGCAGCATGTACCCAGAAGAAAAATAAACTAGATACATGTCCCTTACATTCCAGTGAAGTTGAATGTTCTGTGAACTGGGCTCCTCAATCTATACAATCCATTTTTATTGAATGATCTATTGGGCATTCTTTATAGCCATGAAATACACAAGTCATGCTAAAATGAATTACTTTTAACATCTTTTCCAATTTGACACAAAATATATGAAAATCTCTTCTTAATAAGGAAATACAATAGATTTGAGAAAAGAATTTTCCACTTTTATTTTTTTAAATATCTTATTTATTATTTTTATTTTTTTATGTGTAGGAGTGTATTATCTGTATGTAGGTAGGCACATCCATGTCCTGTAATAGCCAAGGAGGTCAGAAGAGGGTGGGTGTGGGATCTCCTGGACCTGAAGTAGGATGGTTGTTAGCCACCATATGGGTACTGGGACTCCAACCCAGATACGCTACAAGGACAGCCGTGCTCTTAACTGATGAGCCACTCTCCAGCCCCTGAATATTTTATTTTTTTATATTTTATCTAGTATTTTTATTTTATGTGTATGAGTGCATCTCCTGCATGTGTGTAAGTGCACTAGGGTCATGCAATGCCCAAGTATCCAGTTCTCTAGAACTGGAATAATAGACAGTTATTAGCTGCCATGTGGGTGCTGGGAATCAAATCTAGGTCCTCTGTAAGAGCAGTCAATGCTCTTAACCACAAAGCCGTCTCTCCAGCCTCAACCATATTTTAATCTGAACATACAAGAAGCTATTGAATCAAATATGGAAAAGATACAAATATATTTTGAAAATTAAAATATGTGACACAGAAGAACATGTGGTCTTCCTTGGATCTAGACACACTATATGGCTGAAAGGCATTCCACAGGTTGAAAGATGTGGGACTGTTGTTTTAAACGGATGAGATTGTGCAACAGATTCCACCTTAAAAGTATGAAGGGAGTAAGCACCGTTGGACATCTTTTCTTTGCTGAAAAATAAGATACAGGTGCCCAGTGCCCGCATACTTCCACACAGAGATGTAAAGACTGTTAGCCCTGCTTTTGCTTAGTCAGTTTTCAAAAGTAATGCTGCTAAAAATGCAGAAAATATTAGATCAACCCCCAATTCAGCTAAATTAGGACCATAAGAAGATATGCCTTTGCAGGCTTTATTTTTCTACATATTTTTATATTTTACAGAATTATTTACTTTTTTTTTCATGATAAACACAGAATTTAGAGGGTGAAAATTCCAGTTTAAACTATAATTGGTTTAAGCACTCTATTTTCATTTGAAGTTATAATTGTTTTAATTCATTCACTACTGCCAGTAACCCATAATGAATGTTACAATATGCACTAACTTTTCTTTTTTTTTAGAAGGAAACAATAGGTCCATGAATAAGTCTCATAAG